GTGGGCGGGCGGCGGGCGGCGGCGGCGGGTGAGCGCGGCCGAGGGCATCTCCTTCGAGTACCACCGCTACGCGGAGCTGCGCGAGGCGCTCGTGGCCGCGTGGCTCCAGTGCCCCGCCATCAGCCGCATCTACAGCGTGGGCCGCAGCGCCGAGGGCCGCGAGCTGCTCGTCCTCGAGGTGTCCGACCGGCCCGGCGAGCACGAGCCCGGTAAGAGGCCGCCCCGTCCCGCGCCCGTCCCGTGCCCGTCCCGTGCGCCCGGCAGCGGCCGCGTCCCACCCGTGCGCAGCTCGCAGCGACGCTCCCGTTGGCGCCCGCCCGCCCGCCCTTAAGSGTCGCGGCTCGCAGGGCGCGGAGGCTGCAGAGGGAGGCAGGGTGGCAAAGCCGTGCCCTCGAATGGGAAATAATCATAGGAAGCTCCGCGGAATGTGAAACGTTTCTTTGTGCTCGCTGCCGTCTCGGCAGCGGGGAGGGTGGCGTGGGAGCGGGGCGTTAATCTCCCACCCTTACGTAAGCGGCAGCCTGGCGCGAGGTGCGCTTCCCGGCGCGCTTCCCGGCGCTGCCCCAGGCGGACGGGAAGGAGCCCCAGGCGGACGGGAAGGAGCCCCCGGCCGCACGGGGCGCAGAGCGGGGCTCCCGCATCCTTGCCGCGGAGCCCCCGCGCCGGAGAGCGCCGCTCAGCCCCGGGAATGGTGCGCGCGGCAGGAAGATTGCCTTGGGATTAAACCCACGCKCGTGGGCTGAGCCAGCGGGTGCCGCCGACACGCCGCGTTTCCTAGGAATGTGCCCAGTCCCTCGCGGAAGGAGCCGCATCTGGGCACAAACGCCGCAGCTTTTAGTGCCCAAATGCCATGCCAGGGAATGTGCTGAGTGCTGGCGGTCTGCAGTGGCCAAGGCTGAAAAGCCTTGCTCTAGTGGCAAAAGCTGAGAATCTTTTATATATGTGATATGTATGCGTACATACATACATATATATATATACATATAATGCTTTTTTTTCTAGAGTATGAACCCAGATGTGAACGGGGGCGAATAGCTGTTGTATTTAAGTGCCCAGTCCCGTTCCGCTCGGCAGCGGGTCCGGAGCAGGGGCTCCTGCGGCAGCTTTGTTCTCCGCAGCGGCGAGAGGCGCTCGGGGTCCCCCAGGAAGGGGGGCACCGAGTCCCAGCCCTGCGCTCCGTGCTCCCTGAAATTGCCATGAAAACCCTGGGACTGCCCGCGTGTCCGTGTTCCGGCGTGTAGGCACCCAAATGTTACGCTGAAGACCGAATTGGAGGTTTTCCTCCTAGCAAAGTACCTTTTCCTCTCCCGTGTGGTAAAATTCAGCACGGCTCATTTCCGTACGTGAGCTTTTCTTGGGGTGGGTGGTAAAAGAAGCRGAGCCTTGTAAGCCCCTTGGCAGGATTGGGAGCCGATGCTGCAGCTCTTACCTTGGGAATGGAATCCCTGTTCATTACGAGAATCCCCCTTTGATTCCCAGGGCAGGGCTATTGCTGTGTGCAATTAAAAGCTTGCAGGATCAGGACCAATCTTCATCCCTTATTAAAGAATTAGAGATGCACAGACATATGCATAGATATGTATGCATCTATGTATGTATATGCATATACATTGACATGTATGACACATACACCTTTTTTTTCCCCTTCTTTTTCCTTTTTTTTTTTTTTCTATGACAGGATAAGGAGTCATTACTCCTCAACATATTCTGTTGCCTACAAGATTTCCTGAGTTATATGTTTTATTTTTAGATAAATATRTGTATAAATTAAATCTATAATGTGGCTCCTGGGTGTATGATCTGTAGACAGCTCATGCTTCTAGAAGCTTGGTAAGTAAGCAGGGATGCTACCTGAATTATTTAGTGAGCTGCCGTGGAAACAAAATGTSTCCCTGATGGGGAATTTGATGGCTAAATGGTGTTTTTGAAGAGATAAAGAAATAGAAAAGTACATTGATTGCTAGTCTGTGTTTTGGGTTTTTTTTTTTGCATGAAACTGAACTGGAAATTTGATCTCATACATAACACAATCATGCATGTTGCATGTCCTTACAGTGATGTGCAAGTTCACTTAATTGTACCTAGGTGTATGAGCTGACTAATACTTGAAGAGATTTGTTCTTTGTGAAGATGAATTTGCGGAAAATATTTTTTTAAAAAAAAAAAAAGAGAGATGTAAGGAGAAAATGTAGAGGCATACTCTAGATTGCCAAAGCATTTGGAGTGCATCCTTAAGGCCTCATCTTTTTTTAGGGTAAGTATATGTTAAGAGGATTTTTTAATATATTTTTTTAAGCCCAAATWGTGCTTTAGAAGCAAGAATGGCTCCGTATGAGTAAGTCTGATTTCTTGCATAAGCGTGAAGCATCTTGGCAAACCTCTGAAACACAGATTAGTCACTGGGAAGACCAGAATGGCCTCCCCACAATGTGTTGAATGTCAAGGGTGTGAGAATGCCAAAACTTTCTGATCACACATGTGTCTGCCTTTTGATTCATGCCAAACAGTTTGCTCTGATACTTCGCATTTTTCTTTTCTTTTTTGGTGGCTTTTTTTTTTTTATTTTTTGCTCTCCTTTGGGCTGATACTGTAACCATATGGTAGAGCAGAGCCTAGGAATCACACATGGAAAAGGAATTGTAGAATAAAGAGAAGGAAACCTAGAAGATAAAGATATTTGACCTTTAGCAAGTAGTTTCATACTGAGGAAGCTGCCTTATGCTGATAACCTCATTTTAATCAGCGTGGACTAGAGGTTAGGGCATAGGAAAATTTTACTGAGACTGTATCAGTGATTGTGCGTTCAAGGCATGGTCTGAACCTAGACCTGAAGTGGCCGGAAAATTTAGAGTGGCTTTGATCACGTAAGAAAATATGAGTTTGTCCCTGTGCTTGCCAAAGAKTTAGCAAAGTTGACAAAGGATAGGAGACAGCAAGGCAAAAAGGAGGAGATTATGACAAGTTGATGATGGATCAAAGGAAAACAAGGGCACAATTGATACTAAACCAGGCATTAATTCTGGAACAAAGAAAGTAATATGTTGTCTTAATTTAGATGAAKAAGAATAGTGATTACATTTGAGAGCAGTAAATAAACACTTGCTTTGATTATCTGATTTTTTTTTTTTTTGAAGAAGCACCTCAAGGCTTTATTTTTAAATTTCCATAAAAAACTCTTGTGGAGTATAAGCTTGTATCCTTTAATAACTGTGAAATACATTCAGAATTAATACAGAAAGCAATTTTTGCACTCTTAATATTCAGCCATTTGTTCAGGTGGTGCTGCCACTTCTGACTCATTCGTACCAGTGATTTTGGTGGCACAGGAGGTTTCTGTTTGTGCCCCACTTCTAACATATGAAAATGAAACATTCTGACACTTTCAAGCCTTTTAGGGCTCTTATTCTTCATGTGAAAAAGTGGTAACCAAAAATGTCTTTCAATTCCTACTTTTGTTAAAAAACGTTTAGATTTGAWGGTTGTTATTTTTCAGTGTTAGTTTGGTGAAGAAATCCTGTAGCAAAAATTATTAATCAAATGGTTTTATATGTGAGAAAAACAGCGTTGTTACAGATACAGGCATGGAAAGTACTTTGCATCAAAAGGGGGGAGAGGACGTGGATTTTGTGACAAAACGCTCTGACAAAAMCAGCGAATTTGCGCTATTTTTGTCAGAAACAGAAGTGAGAATTGTGCGTCTCCCGTGCATCATTGAGTGGGGAAAACCAAGCTCTGTCTGCTGGAGAAGTGCCCGTCGTGGCTGTGGCAAACGCTCCCTCGCCCGGCTGGGCACCAGCCCTGTGACCTCCCGCTTCCCGGGGYGATGGTTGTATTTCCTTGGCGCACAACAGCCCCTCTCCCTTGCTAATTTTCGGGCAGGAATGCATTTTCGCAGCGACGAGGCCGGAGAGCGCGTCGCCGGTCGCCTGGCTGCAGCGAGGTCAGCAGGCGCCGCCGCCGCTGTTCCGGTTCTGCTATTGGCAGGTAGTTGCGCTTCGTTCTGTAAAGCTGCTTTTTCTCCTCCTTGGCGTTTTAGCACTGAAAATAACACGTGAGCTCTTTGATGGGCTCTGTTAATATCCCCTAGCTTGGCAAAAACGTGAATGCGAATTGACTGTGGCAAGAGCTTGTTGCTAAAGCTGGATACTAGAGAGCAAATCTATTTTTTCATGTTCAAGCTTTAAGCAAGCGTCAGGTTTTATCAATGGCTGCTTCGTTAGCGTTATTTCTTCTGAAGGGAGAGGTTGAAGAATCTGTGACTTGTCTCTGGTAAATAAGAGTGCAATGATTTCTTATTTGGTTGCATTACAGAGTATTGTAAGTGCTAGACAGGTATGGACATAAGCAGACCCGTTGGTATCAGGAGGCCAAGAAATGTCCTCCACTGTTCAGCTTTTCTCATGGCTCTCACGTTCTCAAACCCCTTTAAATATATGCTGCTCTTCAGGCAGGGCAGCTCTTGCTGTCTCCACATGCACGTATGGGTGCATAAAATCAAATGCTGAAATCCTAACAACAAGCCCCACCTACCTTTTAGGTTTTTTGTTGGGAATAGACTGTGGATTTACTGAGATGCTGAAAACAGGGCAAATGTGAGGCTGGTTGTGCCTCCATCACACATTGTAGAAGATGAAGAGGCTGCCACTGCCTTTCCCAGGCATATGTTCTATAGGGCCACGTATGCTTGTTCCTATGGAGTCTCAGAGATAAGGTGTTAATGCTGCCTAGGGTTAGGGTGGGATGTCCATGGTCCGTTATGATCTTTTCCGGGTTGCACAGATCTCAGCAGTGCAATAGGCAATAAGGTGGGTGTTTGTCCACGCTGTGCAAATTTAACAAGCCGTTTGTTTTATTTTGAAGAGCCTTGAATAACTTTGTATCCTTCAYAATTTCATTAGTCTACCTTTTTGAAAGTAAAAGATTTTACTTCTTTAATATATTAGGAATTTTTTTTAACTTAAAAAAATGCAAATCCATCTTTTCTTCCTACATCATCTTAAAATTCAGKATGGGACAGAGGTGTGCGGTACCATGAGCCAAATACAGCGCTTGGCGAGCTGCTGCAGACGGAGCTGTGCAGGCAATGCACAGCTTGCCCGAGGTGCTGCTGCTGCTGCTCACGTTGCCACCCGAGCCGGTGGAAATTCCCGTGGACGGATGGGGAGCTGCGCTGAGCGGGCTCGGYGGTGGCTCCTGCGGGTGCCCTGCT